CCCAGTGACTGGGAAACACTGAACTTCAGTCGGAGGAAAAAAAGTGAAAGGACAGGTCACCGCATTTACAAGGCGAAGACCACGCTCCCCACCACGAAGCAACAGTTCAACACCCACTCCAGGGAAGGCCTGGGGCTGTGTGTATGACCATCTTTATCCTCTTGATACTGGAGGATAAAGACCTAAAGACTCCCCTCCCCCCCCTCCCCACATACTGGACATGTCCTCAAGCTCCTGGTTACCTAAATACACAAACTAGGGATGGGAAAATGTTCAGAGCATTGCAGGGGGGGAGCTAGACCCCTAACTCCATCTTTGGACCATCAGGCACCCGATCTCCATGCAGAGAACAGTCCACGCTGCTGGATCAGGCATGGCAGAGGTAACCCCCAGGGCCCCGAACACTCCCGGGGTGTGAATCAAGTGTCTGGCGTCCACAAGGCCCAGGCCCCAATGCCCTGCCCCATGTCCCACACAAATGCTGGTGGTGGCCCCAGAGAGAAATAAATGCACAAATTTGTTGCCTGTACCCAGGTGTTAAGTTAAGCTCGTAATACAAATCCAAGTCGAAATACAAATGGGAAGATCTTACTGAGGCGAAGTCGTCGTTTTTTTTTTTTTTAATTTTTATTAGTGAAACACCATGAGCTACAGCTGTAGACTTACAAAATTTTGTGCTTGGGTTTCAGTTATACAGTGATCGAGTACCCGTCCCTCCACCAGTGCCCATTCTCCACCACCAATGACCCCAATATCCCTCCCACTCCCCCATCCCCCTCCCATCCTACCCTGCCTCTGTGGCAGGGCATTCCCTTTTGTTCTATCTTTCCTTTTGGGTGTTGCGGTTTGCAATAGAAGTATTGAGTGGCAATCACTTTCGGTCTGTAGTCTACTTTCAGCATGCGTCTCCCATCCTGGGAGGATCCTCCCAACACCCTTTATTTGGTGCTCCCTTCTCTATCTGGGCTGCCTTTTCCCCCCAGCATGTGTGGCTGGCCTTCAAGCCATGGAGTGAACCTACTGGTACTTAACTACTCTTGGGTGTTAGTCTCCTATTCTGTTACTTTATATTCCACAGATGAATGCAACCCTTGTATGTCTGTCCCTCTCTTTCTGACTCATTTCACTTAGCATGATACTTTCCACGTAGAACCACTTGTGTGTAAATTTCATGGAAGTCCTCATTTTAAAAAAAAAAATTATTAGTGAAACACCATGAGGTACAGTTGTAGACTTACAAATTTTTGTGCTTGGGTTTCAGTTATACAATGATCCAGTACCCGTCCCTCCACCAGTGCCCATTCTCCATCATTTACATTTTTTTAAAATTTTGTTAGTGAAACACCATGAAGTCATCATTTTCTTTGTGGCTGACCTTCGCCATAAAATCCCAAAGGCAGAGAACATGGGCTCGCAAGGCTCGGCCCTTCCCAGAGCCATTGAGTGGATGGTCTGAGGTTACATGGCCCCAGGACTCTCCCCGGCAGCTGCCGTGATCTCAGACAGAGATTCTTGAAGAAATCCAGGCTGGATTTCCCTGTGGAAGATGGCCTGGGGGATCCGTTATTGAAAGCCAGGGGGCAGGGGAGTTGTGGGCTTCCCAGAGTGGCCTTTGTGGGCTGCTCTTCCTGCCAAAGAATCCCCCTCCCGGTCCAGACAGACAGACAGACAGACAGACAGACAGACAGACAGACAGGGCCTGAGCGCCTTCCCTTTCTGCTATATAAATGAGAGAACAGCAGTGATGCCCACAGCATTCTACGTGAAACTGGGAGAGTGCGGTGAGGGCCGTGTGCTGGGGCCCCTGAATTTCCTTCTAGAGGAGCGGGGGGACGCCCCTGAAATTGGGTTTCAGTGCTCAGTGTCTAGAATGTGAACCTTAACCGAAGTCCATGTTTACTTTTTTCCCCCCGCTTTTTGGGTCTCACCCGGCGATGCACAGGGGTTTCTCCTGGCTCTGCACTTAGGAATTATGCCTGGCGGTGCTCAGGGAACCGTAGGGGGTGCCGGGGATTGAACCCGGGTCGGCTGCGTGCAAGACAAACACCCTACCTGTTGTGCTACTGCTCCAGCCTCCGTGTATACTTTCGACCTGTGAGCTGCGTTTCTGGGGTGCCCTGACATGTGTCACTCCATGTTGTGATACACACAAGGACTCACAGACCATCTCCCCCAAAGAAATAGACAATTCTGGGGTCCCCCTTCAGTGCAAATTGTCACCTTGAGCAGCTGGTCTCAGTTCTTTGACTGCCTTGATGACTGCGGTTCCTAAGACGTTTACTAACAGCTTCTGCTAGCTCAGACCATTGGTAGCAGTACACTGACCGTTGACCCACAAGTGAAAGAGAGGGCCGTGACATTGCTCTCTGAGAGGTCCGGGATTGGTATGGTAACGATCAGAACTGTTAGCTCCCGTCCTCCCAAATGCGACTGGGAGCTGGAGTCCTCCTGGAGTAGGGAAGTGGGGGGTTGGGGGTTCTGCCTGAGCTGCCCCCTTTCTTTCGTCTGCGCCTTTGATGTGCTCCCTGGGATGAGGGACACATTTGCTCCATGCTTGGGGAGTGATTTTTTTCCCTTTGGTTTCTGTCCCACACCTGGCGATGCTCAGGGGTTCCTCCTGGCTCTGCACTCAGGAATTAGTCCTGGCGGTGCTCAGGGGACTATATGGGATGCCGGGGATCGGACCCCGGGTCGTTTGCATGCAAGGCAAGTGCCCTAGCTGTGGTGCTATCTCTGACCCCGGGGGAGTGATTTGAAACCTCTCCATAAACTGTACCTTTGGGTATCAGAATGTCCAGCTTTCCCTGGACTCTTATTCTAGGCTTGACTGCCACCAGCTATTAATACTTGTCTAAGCAGAAATCTCTCTCTTTCTTTCACTCTCTCTCTCTCTCACACACACACACGCACACGCACACGCACACGCACACGCACACACAGTGAGGGACAAATGAGAGAATTAGCAAGACTCCAGAGTTCGAGGGATCTTTTACACTGATCCTCTCTGTTCGAGAGGGATTCACACATCAGACGTTTCTATGTGGAATGGAAAGATAGCACAGGAGGGAAGCACTAGTCCTGCACGCAGTCTCCCCCAGTTTGACCCCCAACACTGCCTATGGTCCCCCAAGCACTGCTGGGGTCTCACTCCTGAGGACAGAGCCAGGAATAACCCAAGTTCCTTCCTATTTCACTGTATCCCCAAACTCCTCTCCTCCTCAAAAAAAGCTTTTTGTTTGCTGCTTTTCTTGGTTTTAATACCATCGGCAGGAAGAAAGGGCAATGAAACGTTATAAACTTACATTGTAAAAACACATTTGTTGTTCAGTGTATTAATCAGATTTCCACAGCCAGCCTGACCTGGCCAAAATAAATAGGTAGAGAACTGTTGTGGAAAGAACCCATTCTATTTTTCCACTCAAATAATCATCTCCCAGTTTGGAGGGGGAAAGTGGAGGCCCACTTCAAAGTCTTCTCCTCATCAGCAAATGCTTTCCCTTGACTCCCGAGTTCTTTGGGGAAGGTCTGGAAAGAGCGAGAATCTAATGAAAATGGTCTGTCAAGGTCCATCTGGACAGTTGAGACAGCCAGTCTCGGCTGCTTACTTGAGAATTGTGCAAATTAAAACTATTCATCACAACTTAAACTCCGCAGCCTCCGTAGGGACGTGGTTACTTTCTGAGACGCCTCACAAAATGCTGACTTAAAAAAAATAGGTAAATAAGCAGAAGCCTTGTCATTGACTTCTCAGCCAATAAGACTAAATGATTTCTTCATTGAGTTTTATGAAAAACACCGTGGTTCCCAAAGTGGTTCACGATACAGTTGTTTCAAGCATTTCGTGTTCCAACACCTGCCAGGGGACCTTCCCTCCACCAATATCCCCAGTCCCAACCTGCCCCCTTTGGCATATAATAAATTCCCTTTAGATTGCTTATTCCAACAAAGCTTTAAGAAATGGCACATAGGATGATCAGAAGTCAGTAAGGACCCGCTAGTGATTACTAGACGAGTTTGACGTATGCAAATAAGAAAATTAAGAATGGTTGATTTGGGCGTGTTATCTGTGAGCAGATTCTGCCATTCCCCTTCATCCGTCCTCATTTCACTTTGTCTTGGCACAGAAGTGTGAACCCGGTCTGTTGGAATGTTTTGCACGGCACACACTTGAGCCAAGGCTTAGAAATCGCCCTTGAAACCCTACCCTGAGTTTCACAGCACTCACCACTTCATTCACTCATGGAGACTTTGCCACGATTTTCGCGGCGAGAGTTTCAGTAATGAGACCTTCTTTCATCAACTCCTGGTTTCTGCTGTGTTCGTCTGGATTCCCTCTCCTGCTTTGTCCCGCTCAGAAAAGACTGGGGCCGAGCTTGACTCAGTTTACCTGCAGCTTAAATGGCCGTGTGGTCACAGAGCTCCCGTCCCGGCGGGGAAAGTGTGCATTGATTTTCATCAGTGTTAGAGCTGTAAAGAGTCCCCTGGGTTTGGCAGGAGTGACACAGACACACATACACACAGGCACACACACAGACACACAGATGCATAGACACACACACACAAACACACACACCCTGTGCAGGTGAGAAGACTCTACTCATGGCCACTTCTGCCAGCATCAGCCCATTGGCCAGCACCACGGGAAGCAATTTTGACAGATTCCCACTCTCCGGTCTCATGAGAAATCTTCCCACACTCAGGATTCATGCCCTGTTTTGGCTTTGGTTTCGTCTGGGGGCCACACCCTGCGGGGGGATCCGGGCTGTCCTCAGGGACCAATCCTGGCTGGGCTTGGGGGACCGTACAGGGTGGCAGGGATCGAACTCAAGTGGATGCATGCAAGGGCAGCGCCCTCCCCATCTCCATCCCCGGGGCCCCGAGAGTGCCCAGTTGTCTCTGGACACGGAGAGTGAGTGAGGAGTAGCCTTGTCAGTCGCTGTCCACTCTTCGGCCTCGGACGCGTTCCTACCCCTTGACTCTCCCTCTCCCCTCCGCCTCAGGCGTGGACCCGCCCAGGGAGGAGAAGAAAGAATGTTACTACAACCTGAACGACGCCAGCCTCTGCGACAACGTGCTGGCGCCCAACGTCACCAAGCAGGAGTGTTGCTGCACCTCGGGCGCCGGGTGGGGTGACAACTGCGAGATCTTCCCCTGCCCGGTGGTGGGGACGGGTAAGAGCAGCCGCGCCCCCGGGTCCTGCCCCCAGACCTGGCTCGACCGGGTCCCCCCTCCCGTGGAGGCAAGGAGGAGGCGGCCTCGGAGGAGCCGGACTTAGGGGCCTGGCGCCCTCAGCCCCGCTCGGCTGGATGCTAGAGCTTCTCCGTCAGCTACCCTAGCGGCTCTGGCCGAAGACAGTTCAGTTTGGCTTTCTTTTTTTCGTTGGTTGGTTGGTTGGGATTTTTTGGTTGCGTTTTGGTTTGGGGGTCACACCCAGAGTGCTCAAGAGTTACTCCTGGCTCTACACTCCTGGCGGGCACAGGGGACCATATGGGGTGCCGGGGATCGAACTCAGGTCAAGACTAACACCTGACCCATTCCTTGTCTTACTGCTCTGGCCTTCAGAAAATTCTGTTTTAATCCTTTTTTTTTTTAAGGTAAAACTAGTCTGTGTGTGTGTGTGAGTGTGCTAGTAATACATTGTCTAGAACTGGAACTGAAGGGTGTATGTCTATGCGGTCTATGCATCTGTGTGTATGTGTGTGTGTGTCTGTGTGTATGTGTCTGTGTGTGTGCATCTTGTGTGTATGTCTGTGTGAGTCTATGTGTCTGTGTGCATCTATGTCTGTGTATCTGTGTGTATCTGCATGTGTCTGTGTATGTGTGTGTCTGCGTCTGTGTGTATGTGTGTGTCTGCATGTATTTGTGTATGTCTGTGTCTGTGTGCCTCGGTGTATCTATGTGTGTCTGCATCATATGTTTGCGTGTCTGTATGTGTCTGTGTGTGTATGCATTTGTGTGTATGTGCGTTTCTGCATGTGTCTGTGTGTCTGCATGTGTGTGTATGTGTCTGTATGTCTGCGTGTGTATGCGCGTCTTTATGTCTGCGTGTGCGTGACTGTGTTTGTCTCTGTGTATGTTTGTATGTCTGCTTGTGTGTGTCTGCATGTATGTGTGTCTGCGTGTGTCTGTGTGTCAGACTGTGTGTATATCTGTGTGTCTGTGTGTGTCTATATGTCTGCGTGTGTGTGTCTGTGTGTGTGTGCATGTGTCTGTTTTGTGTCAGGATTGAATCGGGGCCTCTCCGCTCTGTGGCCCCTGTCTGCCGCTCAGCGGCCCCTCTGGCCCTTGCTCTTATTCTAACTAAACCCTGAAGTGGCAGAAGTCACAGCCGCAGAGAAATAATTGGCCCACGGCTGGCCCTCGGTCAGCGCACAGTCCGTGAACTCTGAGACCCTCGTGTCAGTGGGGTTGGGGTCAGGCTCCAGGCGCTGCTGGTCCCCTCATGGGGGTCCAGGACCCCTCTGGTTCCTGGGACCACAGCTTTGAGGAAGCGCAGCTGGGCGCAGACTCCGCCCAGGGAATGTTCATTCTTCCAACTTCTCTCTCTTTCCTTTTGTTCTCTGGGGCCAGCGGAATTCTCGGAGATGTGTCCCAGAGGGAAAGGCTTCGTCCCTTCCGGAGACTCCGTGTACGACATCGGCGGTGAGAGCTACAAAGGTGAGAGTCGTGGGGGCCGGACACTGGGCTGGGGGGCTAAGGGTGCTGATGGAGACACGGACTGATGCCAGCGTCCCGACCCTTCTGGGAATGGCCCCGGGAGCCTCGGTCGTGGCCTGGAAGCTCGGCACATCAGCTGGGGTGCCCGTCACTGTCGGTCTGAGGTGTCTCCTCGCTGTCCCTCAGCCGGGAGTGGAGGCTCCTGGGCTGGCCCGAGGCGAGATCCCACGCACCAACATACTCCACACAGAATTCTGTCTTTCACCCACACTTCACACTTGCCTGCTGATTCTAGAAGGTTCCTAAGAGTGTGTGGGAGTGAGAGCAGGAGCCCTTCACAGCTCACAGAATCGAGGTTCAGGCGTTTTTAAGTTAACCGCTCCCATTCTAGCTGTGGGGACCTTTCTGCTGCTTTGTGGGAGGTTTTGTTTGTTTAGCTTGGGGAGGGGCACAGCAGCTGTGCTCAAGATATATATATATATATGTGTGTGTGTGTGTGTGTGTGTGTATATATATATATACATATATGTATATATAGCACTGTAGCTCTCTCCTCCTGTTGTTCATCGATTTGCTCGAGCAGGCACCAGTACCGTCTCCATTGTGAGACTTGTTATGACTGTGTTCGGCATCTCGAAGACGCCATGGGGAGCTTGCCAGGCTCTGCCGTGAGGGCAGGATACTATTGGTAGCTTGCCAGGCTCTCCGAGAGGGACGGAGGAATTGAACCCGGGTAATCCAGGTTCAATTATATATATGTATACACACACACACATATATATATACACAGAGAGGACTCTTCTCCTCTCCTGTGCGTATATATATATATATATATATATATATATATATATGCTCCTCTCTCTTCTCTCTCTCTCTCTGTCTCTCTCTCCTCCTCCTCTCTCTCACACTCCTCTACCATGCATATATACATATATGTGTGTGTGTGTGTGTGTATTTTAATTAAATCACTGTGGGGTATACAGCTACAAGGCTGTTCCTGATCAGATTTTAGTCATGCAACGTTCCAATCCCATCCCTCCACCAGTGTACATTTCCCACCACCAATGCCCCCAGTTCCATCTTGCCAGCCCACCCCCAGCCTGTCACTATGGCATATTCCTTTTCTCTCTCTCTCTCTCTCTCTCTCTCTCTCTCTCTCTCTCTCTCTCTCTCCACCCTTTTGGGTATTATGGTTTGCAATACAGACACTGAGAGGTTATCACGTATGTTCCTTTACCTACTTTTAGCACAGAGTTCTTATCCAGAGTGATCATTTCCAGCCTCATTTGCCACAGGGGTCCCTTCTCTATTTCAACTGCCTTCTCTCCCAACACTTGAGGCCGGCGTCCAGCCGTGAGCCAGTTCTCCTGGCCCTCGTTTCTACTGTCCTTGGGTATTAGTCCCATACTATGTTTCTTTATATCCCATACATGAGTGTGATCATTCTATGTCTGTCCCTCTCCTTCCGACTCATTTCGCTCAGCAGATCCTCTCCATGTCCATTCATTTATAAGTGAATTTCATGACTTCATCAAGACTTATTCTCGGCTCGAGGCTCAGGGATCACTCTTGGCGGGGCCAGGGGACCGAATGGAATGCCGGGGATTGAACCTGGGTCGGCCGCGTGCCAGGCAGAGACCCTCCCTGCTGTGCTATCACTCTGGTCCCTGATTGTGGGATCTTTTACTGAGGGTTACATCCATCGCAGACTGGAAAAGAAGAAAGGAGAATTGTATGGGTTTTATAAAAGGTGGTCTTTGATTATAAAATAAGCAGGCAACTTTTTGTCTGGGTCACATTCAAACCTTTTGTATGAATTGGTCCTTACACGCCATTCAATTTTGATATTTCCATGACAGCAATACTAACCCCTTTTATTTAGGAAATGGATTAATTACATTTCCTGTTAAGTCTAATATTGAAAACTGCTCAGAGGCTGGAAAAAAAAACAGACTAAAGCCATTTTATTGTCCTTTTATTTTTGTAAAACTGATGTTTTGATAATCTGGTATAATCCAGGAGCTGGACAATATGAAGGTTTTGTGATGTGTTATAGTATTTTCAGTTTAGAGGTATGTACTATATATTATTGCAGCAGATATAAAAAATATTAGGTCATATTGAATGGAGCTCAGATTTCGCTTTAAAATCCTCCTCTTTTTTAATATTTTATTGAATTAATTTATTATTTGGCTTCTGGGGTCACACCTGGTGATGCCCAGGGGTCACTTCTGGTTCTATGATCAGGAATTATTCCTGGTGGTGCTCGGGGGACCATATGGGATGCCAAGAATCGAACCCAGGCCGGCTCTATGCAAGGCAAACACCTTACCCACTAAACTTTCACTCCAGCCCCCTAATAATTGTCCCCTTTTCTACAAAAGCCCTTCCGTTTCCCTCGGTTAGCAGGGCCATCCAGGGTTGGAAGATTCGACCCAGCTCTACGCAGCCCTGGGCCGTGAGCGTGGGACCTTTGAGCAAGTCATCTGTGGGGCTCATCAGTGAGGACTTGCATCAATGAGGAGCTCAAAAAAATAGCATCACAGTGGCCTCAGCAGCAGAGAAACCCTCTTTGCAATCCGCCCGGTCCTCTTGTGGCTTTTCCTGCTTTATACTCTCAGTAAGGCCGTCCTCTCATCCCCCGCTCTACCCCAGAGCAAACTGCACTGTGGGAACACTGAACAATCAGGGTTACAGGCGGCCCCCAGCCACGATTCCTTCAGGCACTGACTGTTGTCTCCTCGGGCATGGACCAGCGTCTCCGAGGAGGCCACGGGTCCCTTGGGCACGGACCGTCGTCTCTGCACGGGTCCTTCAGGCACTGACCGTTGTCTCTGAGGAGCACGCTCTGAGCCATGCCAGGCTCTTTCTCAATTCTCTCCACTGCATCTAATTCATGGGCCCTAACAGACATTTCCAGAAAGGGATCTAGAGCCTATTGTTGATGCTCTTATGAAATCCATACGGCATTTCAATAAACACAGAGATGCTTTTCAGAACAGCACCTCCCTTTTCCCCTAACATATACTCCCAAATGAAGCTTTGGGTGCTATTCCTTGCCGGTTGCAGGAAGGCCTGCTCCTGTTTCTGCACCCAACAGCCCCTCTCAGAGGTGTTGGTGCTGTGTCACTAAGTCTCTGGGATGCGCGGGTCCCATGCCAGCTCGAAGAGCCATATTGGTTCCATGGCCTTTGAGTATTGTTCTTTGTTATGTTTCAGACGTTGTCCAGGTATTCAACTCTATGAACTCATTTCTTGGATGGTCTTGGTTGTATTTCCAAAGACCAAGAATATTATATGATGATTTTAATGGAATACAATTTTTTTCTGTCTCTGACAATAAGCATCGAACAGATGTATATGTCAACTAGATGGGACGTTTTCTTGTAGTTATTCAGGGACTCTGCTCCAGACACAAAATGAGAGCTGAAAGGAGGGAAAGTGATACCGTCCTGCAAAGCACAGTGCCTAAAAGGATGTGAGAGAGAGAGAGAGAGAGAGAGAGAGAGAGAGAAGAAAAGTGTCTGTCATAGAGGCAGGCTGTAGGGTGGGGCGGGGGGGGGAGGCAGGCAGGAGGGAAACCGGGGTGGGAGAGGAGATAGTGAAGAGACAGATGTTAGAACATTGTATTTCCGGGGCTGGAGCAATAGCACAGTGGGTAGGGCATTGGCCTTGCACGAAGTCAACCTGGGTTCGATTCCCAGCATCCCATAGGGTCCCCTGAGCACCGCCAGGGGTAATTCTTGAGCGCAGAGCCAGGAGTAACCTCTGTGCATTGCCAGATGTGACCCAAAAAAGCAAAAAAGTAAATAAATAAATAAATAAAAAATAGAACATTGTATTTCTGAGACTCGATCATGGACCACTTTGTATCTCTACATCTCATGGTGATTCAGTTTCTTTTTTTTAAAGGGAAAAAAAATGATGAGCTCTATTTTTTAAACAGCCAAAGCCAACTTCTTTTTTTCTGCTACTCCTTTTTCCCTGCAGACGCAAATGAATGCCTCCTCTTTGGACAGGAGATCTGTAAGAACGGCTTCTGCCTGAACACGCAGCCGGGCTACGAGTGTTACTGCAAGCAGGGCACCTACTATGACCCCGTGCAGCTGCAGTGCTTTGGTAGGTGTCACCGGGGTGTGCCTCGCGCGTGCGGAAGCAGAACGGGCGTGCTCGGAGAGCGTCCAACCCGTTCCTTGGACTCTGAATCATGGTGCTGAAAATATCTAGGCATGTTTTGTGTATCTTCTCTCGAGTGAGATTTTTCAAAGTTGGGGCTGGAGCGATGCTAGTCCAGCAGGGAGGGCGTTTGCCTTGCACGTGGCCAACCCGGGTTCAATCCCCGGCATCCCATAGGAGTAATTCCTGAGTGCAGAGCCAGGAGGAACCCCTGTGCATCATCAGATGTCACCCAAAAAGAAAAAGAAATAGATTTTCAAAGCTTATTTAGAAGGGTGGGGGGAACCAGCCCAATGCCATCCTACAACTGGATTTGGTTTCTGATGGGGGGGGGGGGTTAATGCTCACTGTGGAATTCTAATTCAGGCCCCTGGTGTAACTGGACTGTTCATCCCTTCCAACCCTGCGTGATCAGGATCACGATCATCCTGTTGTTCGTTGATTGCCTCGAGCAGGCACCAGTAACGTCTATTTGTCCTAGCCCTGAGATTTTAAAAAATGCCACATTCAAGGCTCTTTCAGGATTAGGAGAATGGGACCCATCATTGTTACTGGTATTTGGCATTTTGGGTACGCCAAGGGGAGTTTGCCAGACTCTGTCCTGTGAGCAGGTAACATTTGGTAACCTGCCAGGTTGTCCAAAGTAAGAATGAGATAATAAGATATCGCTTCCGGGAGCTGGTTTTTATAGTCTCTGGGTCTTGGCCATTGATGGGATTACACGGCACCAGGGGGCCAGTTGGTGGGTGTGACCCCCGCCGCCTGGAATTTGGAGGATCTGGGTGGAGGATGCTCGGCCCCGATCTGAGCAGGCTTGGAGATCTCAGCCCCGGGACCCGCATGCCTTTGTCCAACCCTGCAAGGGAGCATCATTTTCAGGTCCTGACCCAGACTTTCGTGCTTAAGTTGAAAACCATATCCAAGAGACAGGAAACAGGGCCAAAGGAAATCATTGGAAAACGACCCAGAAGCAGCCCTTTATCTTAGCTGGCTCAGCGCGTCTGCCGGGCAACTGGCGGCCCTGGGAGCGCTCTTGTTTTCCCCGACCAGCGCCCGTTTCTCAGGGAGCGTGTGGTCAGCAGCCGCCTCTGGCTCCCAGGCCGGGGCCCAGAACCTCCCATCGTGTGAGGCTGGGGATGAGCCGGGGGCCGGTTTGTTTTGTTTCGTTCACGCTCCGTTTCTTTAAGACATGGACGAGTGTCAGGACCCCAGCAGCTGCGTGGACGGCCAGTGCGTCAACACGGAAGGCTCCTACAACTGCTTCTGCACCCTCCCTCTGGTTCTGGATGCTTCCGAGAAGAGATGCGTGAGGCCGGCTGAGTCCCAAGGTAGGTGTGGGGCGTGGTCGACGCCGGTCCAATTCGCACCCGCCTCCCCCCAGGTCTTTCGTAAGACTTGGCCCGTGAGCTGTTGGCGGGACGTGTCACGGAGCCGGGACGCGGGCACCTTCGAGTGGAAAGACACGACCGTCTCCCATGTTCTGTTTGCCCATCGTGGCCGCCCCGTCAACCAGACCCTGAACTGCTCTTTCCTGGGAGCTCACTCGCCGCTCTATTTCACTCCAGGAGAGCTAAAGTGCTTTGCCCGGGAGACTCTCGCGACCGTGGGATTGTAGTCAGGGGGTCACTCTCCCACAACCCCCCTGAGCCTGTGGGCTTCAGGAACAGCGGGATCAGGGAAGCTGGTGGCACCAGCCCACACCTGAGCTTCGTCAGTCTTTACCCTCGAGCAGAGGAGAGAGGGACACAAGGCCGGGGCGGGAAAACCCCGACCTTCTCACGGCCCAGAGGCCAGAATCCTGCCAGCCGACCAGCGGGTGTTCGAGCACCTGGTGGAGAGCCGTGAACGGAATCCCCCACGTGTCCCTAGTGATGTGATAATCAGAACAGAACCTGCATGTGGGTCAGTGCCTTGGTCAGGAAATTCCTTTGGCCGAAGCCCGTTGACAGGAGAGGTTGGGCAGAGACTGGATGGGGGTGGGGGCATCACAGGGGCTTCCACGGGTCACTGGGGGCGCACACACGAAGCCCACAGCGTTCTGTGGGAGACGCCACAGCGTGAGGGGCGGCTGGGCTGAGCGAGGGCAGAGCCGGCGTGAACGCTCAGGCCGGGCTCGGAGCCCCAGACGGCGGTGGGCGCGGAGGGGGGTTTCGGAGGTCTCCTCCGCTGGGTGGGGAAGAGGAAGAGATGGAGTGGCCGCGGCCCTGCCTCCCGCAGAGCAAGTGGAAGACACCGACGTCTACCAGGACCTGTGCTGGGAGCACCTGAGCGAGGAGTTCGTGTGCAGCCAGCCCCTGGTGGGCCGGCAGACCACCTACACCGAGTGCTGCTGCCTCTACGGGGAGGCCTGGGGCATGCAGTGCGCCCTGTGCCCCATGAAGGACTCAGGTGAGCCGGGGTCTGGGGGTTGGGGGTGGGGCACCAGCTGGCACTTCCTCTCATCCAACACCAGGGGGTGCGCGTGCCTGCCCTGGGCGGGGGTGTGTGTGAATATACATGTGTGCACGTGCGTGTGTGTGTGTGTGTGTGTGTGTGTGTTTGTAAGTGCATCCATGCGTGTGAATGCATGTGCATGCCTTGGTGTGTGTGTGTGCGTGTGTGTGTGTGCGTGTGTTTGTGTGCACATGCCCATGCGTGCGAATGCCCATGCATGCCCTGGTGTGTGTGTGTGTGTGTGTGTGTGTCTGTATGTGTGTGCACGTGTGCACGCCTTTCCTGCATATGTTTGTCCTCGTGCGCTGGAGGGATGACAGGCCCCACTCAGCATCCTGCTTCCGTCACCTCCGGCCCAACCCGGCATCACTGTTGGAAGCCCCCCAGGCCGCTTTGCCAACGCGTGAGAAAGGAAGGGCTGGCGGGCAGCTCAGCGGGGAGGGGGCACTGTGCCTCGCACCCAGCAGGCTCAGGATCGGTCCCCGGGTGCCGCCAGGACTGATCCTGAGTGCAGAGCCAGGAGGAACCCCTGGGCGTTGTTTGCCAGGTGTGCCCCCACCCCGCCCCACCCCAGGCCCCCAAACAAACAAGAGAAAGGAAGCAAAGTAGGAGGAGGAGCTGAGCTGTGGGCAGCGCGTCCCCGATTCTACTCCCTGCCCCGTCTTCGGGTCTGACCACCCTCACTTCCGAGGAGCTTTGACTCAGAGCAAATCACTGTCACCGTCCCTGTCCTCCCGTTGTTCATTGATTTGCTTGAGCGGGCACCAGTAACGTCTCCATCGTGAGACTTGTTGTTACTGTGTCTGGCATATCGAATACGTCACGGGGAGCTTGCCAGGCTCTGCCGTGCGGGCGAGATCCTCTCGGTAGCTTGCCGGGCTCTCTGAGAGGGGCGGAAAAATGTACTGGGAAATCTTTGTGTGTCCAAGTCTCAATGTCTTCGTCAAGGACATGGGAACGTGGTTAGAACAGCAAGGGATGGACCAAGTGAGAAAGGAGTGAGCGAGGATGTGCAGAATTCTCCTTTCCAGGTTTCCAGGTGGCAAGGAAGCCTTTGGCCGGAGTCGGGTGGGAGTGGCCGGCTGTGGCTGGTGTCCCCTCTCTTGGGGGCTGGGCGGGGAGGGGCAGCTGGACACACACCCCACTCCCTCCCCCACCCTCCCTCTGGGCTGCTTGCAACCTTGTGCCTGTCTCACTTGTCCTTTCTCACCATTCAGCCACTTCCTGCCCTGTGCAGGAAAGTTCTGGAAGGAGTGTGTTGTGTAGCACTCTGAAATGCTTTGGTCCAGTGGTGGAAACCCCGGGGTGTGGGGATGAGCGTGAGTGCACTGGGCAGTCGAAATGCTCGCGAGAACCAGAGCCCCCATCCCCGCTCATGCCACTGAGGCACGACTTTGAGGGTGTGTTGGAACATCACTAAACGAGACACAGGCCGCCTGGGAAGGAAAACCCTTCCAGGCTGCCATCAAACAGGCAGAGGACAGGGAGAAACGCGCCTGGACAGACAGAGTCGTGAGCGGTCAGGCCGCCGGTGCCCATGGATGCAGGTGGACGCCAAGCTGCCCACGGCTGCAGGCGGGGACAGGGCGCCCCAGCAGGGAGCTCGGGTGGGAGCTGGCCCTGAGGTGGCCCGCGGGCTGCAGACCCGATGCCCCAGGGAGAGGTGGGGGAAGTCTCGTCTCGGAGCACCGGGGCTGGAGTTGGCATCACTCAAGGCTCTCGGCCCTCAGGTCCGGGCACCCGTTTCTGCTGTTTCCTCTTTGCCAAACAGGGCTGGGGAGACAACGCCAAGGCTGGGCATGTGTCTTGCATGTGGGATCCCCACGTTCCATCCCTTGCACCACGTGACCCCTGGACACCTCAGGGGTTGACCCAAAGCCCAAATAAGCAGCGTGTTTACACTAAAGAAGCAACGTCGGGAGGCGGAGGGCAGGTACAGTGGGGAGGGCGCTGGCCTTGCCCGTGGCCGGCCCCGGTTCTGTCCCTGGTCCTCTGAGCACCACCGGGAGTGATCCCTGAGCACAGGCCAGGTGTGCCCCGTCCCCAAAAACAAAATCAAAATACCCTAAGAAGTCAAGCGACGACAGGGACAGTCGTCTCCTCGCTCTGACCCCATCTCGGCTGAGTCGGCCCTGCGAGACAGTCTCTCGTCACAGCTGACTTTGTCATAGTCGGGCCTTGGTGCCCATTGGGGCGCCTAGCAGGCAGTGCTCAGGACTTACTCCTGGCTCTGTGCTCAGAGGTCACAGCTAGGGTTGCCCCGGGGTTGGCTGCACGCAAGGTGAACACCCTACACACTGTCTCTGCAACCTCCCCCACCCCCAGCCTTTTCCCTCTCCATTATTCTGTCATATTTAGCTTACACACACACACACACACACACACACACACACACACACACACATTTGGGCAGGACCCAGCGATACTTTGAAGTCACCCCTGGTGGTGCTCTGGGGTTGGGGGGGGGGGATCCAGGGGAGCAGGGATTAAAATCGGGCTGAGGCCGGCCAGGCACGCTCAGGGTCAGCCCAGCCCCGCCTGACTGTTCCGACCGTGTCAGAGGTTGCCCTGAAATCCACATCCTGGGTTTGAGGCGGAAATCCCCATCCTGGGTCCGAGGCGATCCACGCGTGTCACTTCTCCTCGCTCAGCCTAGTGGATCACGGAGGACGCCTTGTGCCCTGATGGTCCAGCAGTGGCCACCGGCCTGTAAGGCAGGCCACTTGGCTTCTTGTATGGGGATGTGGCTTCATGAGAGCTGCCCACCCATTTCACTGGCTCACACCCATGGGCCCGGTGCTGTGATTTGAGTCCAGGCCATTTCCCAGTGCGAGCCATTGGTGGCAGCCCGCGACTAAGCCACGTTTGCTCTCCCCTGCTCTGTGTGGGTCCCCCACCTCCTCCTGACCACGCTATCACACGCCAGGCTGCTCTGAAGCTCAGGTCTGTCCTGTGTACCTCAGCAGCTCGCCGGGAAAACTCCCACCGATGCACCCAGGGCAGAAAAGCCCTGGAACTTGGTTCCCTGGCTCTCTGGTGTGCCGGTGGGGTCACAGGACCTCTCTCCTGGGACCGTTGGCGGCTGACCCCGTCCTTGACATCACTTCCTGTTGCGTGTGGGAGGTGCTGGCAATTGAGGGTTTTTCCCTCCTTGGAGGTGGTGTGTGTTCCTGGATCTGGGAAGTGTCCCTCTCCTCTGCCCGCCCTTGTCAGACGCTCTGCCTCTGAATTGCTCCTGACTATGGCCCAGAGTTGACTTTCTGGGCCACTTGTTGGTAGAAGTGTCCCTTTGACGGGTCTGCGCGTGTTTGCATGTGACTGCGACCCAGCCCAAGCTTGGGTCGGTACCTCTCTCGGCCCCGTGAAGCTGTTGGGTCAGCGCCTTTGAAAACCAAAGTGAATTTTTAAAAAGGAAAAAAACTTTTTATTTTTTTTTAAATTTTCATTTATTTATTTATTGCTTTTTTGGGTCACACCCGGCGATGCTCAGGGGTTACTCCTGGCTCTGCACTCAGGAATTACTCCTGGAGGTGCTCAGGGGGCCATATGGGATGCTGGGAATCGAACCTGGGTCGGCCGCATGCAAAGCAAACGCCCTACCCGCTGTGCTATCACTCCAGCCCCAAAAAACCTTTTTAAAAGTTTTTAAAAGTTGATCACATGCAAGGCATGCACCCTAACCACTGTGCTATCTCTCTGGTCCCTAAAGTGGATTTCTAGTGTTTTTGTGTATCGCCAGACTTATAAGTGTCAACTTAAATTTTCAGGGAGAAAAAAAAAATGTACCTATGGGTTTGCAGCTGTTGAAATGGAACAAAATCCATTTGAACTCATGGTTGACACGCCCAGGGACCCCAGTGTCCATGGCAGTCTCGTTAAATTCATGTGCTTCTCATGGGTGTGGGGGACCCCCAAAAGAGTCACACTCTAGTGGGTGGGTTATTAAAACGCTCATCGTAAGTAAATCGAGCATATGGATTCGATTAACTCTTCACCTCAACTTGGAAGACTTTTTGACCTACTGTGTGGGGAGAGTGCCACCTGTTGGTGACGCAAGGAACTGCAGCTGGGGCACGGCCTGACCCACCCCAGAAAGACCAGGTTCATGGGGGTGGGGGGGACCCCCCCAAGGAAAGTGGAAATTAAAAAAATGAAAACACAAAAACCTTACCAGCCCTAGTAAACCCACCAGAGTATGGACAGACAGGTGGGTCCCTGTTGGTTCTGGGGGGGGGGGGGGGATGAACAGATACATTGGATTTTAAAACCAATGTGTCTGTTCAGGTACATCTGTTCTAGAACCAAAGTTCTAGAACTCTCTATGCTACAGACCACCTGGGAGGGGAGGAGGGGGATGGGGTGCAGGCCGGTCTCGGCTCTGCAATCTGGGCTTTGGGCTCTGCCCCCCAGGAGTGGTTCTGACAAACCCCTGGGACCTCCTGAGTGAATGCAGACTGTCCTCCCGTTGTTCATGGATCTGCTCGAGCGGGCCCAGTAACGTCTCCGTTTTGAGACTTGTTGTGACTGTGTTTGGCATCTTGAATACGCCACGGGGAGCTTGCCAGGCTTTGCCGTGTGGGTGAGATACTCTTGGTAGCTTGCCGGGCTCTCTGAGAGGGGTGGAGGAATCGAACCCGGCTCCACTGGGCTGGCTGTACGCAAGGCAAACGCCCTACCTACCGCTGCGAAAAGAAAAAGAAAAAGAGGGGCTGGGAGGGGGGTGTCGTATTCCTGACACTGACAGCTGATTTTTCCCTAACTGCGGGCTTCTCTGGCGGCTGCTGAGGGGAGCACTTAGAGAGGAGGAAATGACATGGTGGAAGACCCTTCATGTCGGGAAATGATGGAGCCGAGGAGGAAATTAGCAGGTTCACACACACACACACACACACACACACACACACACACACACACACACACACACCGTACATTCCCACACCTGTGGAGCGGCTGGGCCTGCAGTGACCTCACGCTAACTTCCTCCAGGACTGCCTGCCACTAAGGTGGGAACGGTGGATTTCCAAAGCCCCCCGCTACTCAGAGAAGGGCCAGGTCAGGAGACCCCGCATCCCTGCGTCTGAGGGCGTTCCTTGACGGTCCGAGGCGGCGTGTATCTTTGAGTCCAGGCCTAGCGACAAAGCGACAAAGCAAAGGAACCTCTTCTTCTTTCCTTGCTTTTTTTTTTGTTTGTTTTTTTGTTTTTTGTTTTTCATTCAGACCCACCAAATAAATGGTCCTGCATTTGGAGTGCGGCCCATCTGCTGGGACGGGACTGGGGGTGGGGAGTGGTGGTGGGGGGTGGGGACGCGGCGTGAGGGGACTAGAGGGTCTGGCCCTGAGCCCATCCTTGCGTCATTACCATTCACAGGAGCCCCCAGGCCCCAGAGCTCCTGCCAAGACTTGCGACTTCATTACTTTCCTGTCCACGACAAGTCATTGGACACTGAGCAACTTGATCGCCTTCACCTAATAAATCGAGCTGTCCCAAAAGGATCAATAAGGGTTGAGTGGGGGCCGGGGGGTGGGGGTGGGGCGCTGAACTCATCTCGGTCACGAAGGCTCCTTGGGTGGGAATTGTAGTCCCTGCTGCCCTGGGACAGAGTGTGGCTGACTCAGCCCTGCCCAGGGCTGCTCTGAGCACTGCTCCCAGAGTCTTTGCCTCATGCCTCGGCTCTGAACCCTCTGCCACGGAGACGTGTGTGTCTGCCCAACTCTGTGGGCACTTGCTTTGCAAACGTCTCCCGGCCCCACCTGGGTGCTTGAGCCCAGAGTTTGCCCCCCTCTGTCGGTGGTTCTCTGCAAGGGGAGGGTGCCCAGCTCCTCCAAGCTGAGTGGAGTCGTCAGCCCCCAAGTGCCCCTCAGCCATCACCCTGTATGCGCTGTGGCCCCCGGGGATGGCCTGGTGCCAGACTGTGTCCCCGGGAGAAGGCTGGGCCCTTTAGTACCCGGTGGGTGAAAGCGTCACCGGCCAAGAAACTCAGACTCTGCATTCTGCTTGTCGCGGGTTTTTAGGGGCGTAGGCAGGAACCCTGCGGTGCCACGGGCAGGCAGTGGCCTAACCACTGAGCTCTCCCTCTGGCCCCAGGAGCCCCCAGGAGTTTCTTTTCCCTTTCAGAACCCCGTCTTCTAGCACAGAGTCCATGTTCTGTCGGGAAATGTGGGCCTGCCCTGTGGTAGGTGCTGATTCCCTAAGGGGCCAAGGGGGGAGGCGACCCACTCACTCAGGACAGACTGGGGGCAGGACACCCCCTCGTCCTGTTGAAACTTGGCGGCTGAACCAGCTGCCCTTGGCGTCCGTTGTCTTTGCTGCGAGTGGCATTCGGAGTCAAGGATCTTCTCCTTTCATCCAGATGTCTTCTTAACAAAGCAAAGACTTTTTTTTTTTGAAATTCTTTTATTTTATAAAGTCGTTCACAATATTTGGTTCCATTCAATATTCAAACACCAACGCCACCACCATCACACCTTCCCACCACCAGATTTCGGATGTTTCCCCAATCTCTGCACTAAAGAAAACCCGGAATAAAATATTTTGTATTGTTTACTATGAAAATCTGCTGAGAATGCTAGAAAAAAAGTATCCTTAGAGGAAAGAGGGCGAGGATTGTTGTGTTTCACCAGGGGCCGTTAAGCCCTTCTGTAAGAGATCACTAACATGGTGTTAAAGGTCGAGCCTTGTGTGTTTTTCATCACTTAATCACTTAATCACTTAACTTCCCGTTAGTCGTCGATTTGCTCGAGCGGGCGCCAGTAACGTCTCCATTTGTCCCTGTCGCGTGCTAGTGTAGCCCAATGGCATCTGTTCGCTCCGGGAACATGAAGGGCCTCAAACCCATCGTTCATGATCTTGATGAAGATTTTTCATATATATATATATATCTGTAAAAAAAAAGTGTATATTTTCCTCTACTGAATGTAACCTGCCCACACGGCAGAGTCTGGCAAACTCAAACTCCCCGTGGTATACCCAATATGCCAAATACCAGTAACAACGATGGGTCTCATTCTCCTAACCCTGAAAGAGCCTTGAATATGGCACTTTTTAAAAATCTCAGGGCTAGGACGAAGGAGACGTTACTGGGGCCTGCTCGAGGCAACTGACGAACAACAGGATGATCGTGTGATTTCCCTCTAAGATTGGTGCCTCCTACTTTGAACCCTGTCAAGTGCGGTGCAGTGTTCCTGGAGTAGGGCCAGAGTATGTGGTTTGAAGGACCACGCGGTCCAGGAATAGATGCACTTGTGGGTGAGGCTCGGCCCGAGCGTGTGGAGAGTGGCGGTGACCGTGGTGGTGGCTGAGTTCTGGAGGTTGTCAGCTGCCGGGGCTGGGTCCCTTGGGGCGGGCAGGGGTCTCTCCCTCCCCCTCCGGGGCGCCCCGAGTAAGACAGCCTGGCGTGGGGTCTGGCGGCATGGTCATGGCGAGCGTCACGTTGCTCCCTCCCGGGAGAGGAGGACGTGTGACCTGGACGGTGGCCGGTGCTGAGTTCATGTGCCCAGCCGGAGGTGGCTCGTGGCCGTGACTGCTGGGCTGCTGGAGACCGGGGACGGGAGCAAAAACTTTTCCCGGATCGTTTCGAGCAACGGGAGGAGGGATTGGGGGTAGGCAGTGCCTGGCGGGGGGCAACTCTCACTCCCTTTATGTTTCCACTGGGACAACTGAGACAGAATCGGGACGATTTTCAGGGTGGCAGGAATAATAATTTATATATAATAATAATTTCCAGTGTGGCCGCGGCTGTGGCTGCCTCTCCCCCTGCGTCCCAACGGCCCCTGTGCCCCTCCCTGGCGGTCCCGCGTCCCTGTGCGTCTGTGAGGTGCCTGGGCACCGCTCTCTCACCGTGAGCCAAAGAAGGAAGCTGCGGACGGCCCCCGCCGGCCCCCGGCGCCTGGCACAGGGCAGTTGGCTGTGTAGTGCGGGTCTCACAGTCCGGCTGCTTGATTCTCTCTCTCTCTCTCCTTTTTTTTTTTTTGATTTTTGAGTCATACCCGGCAATGCTCAGGGGTTCCTCCTGGCTCATGCACTCAGGAATGACTCCTGGCGGTGCTCGGGGGACCCTGTGGGATGCTGGGAATCGAACCCGGGTCGGCCGCGTGCAAGGCAAACGCCCTCCCCGCTGTGCTATCAGTCCAGCCTCCTGCCTGATTCTCTTAAGGGACTGTCCCGAAGTGCATGTGAGGGGCTGGGCCAGGAACCCCCCCCCAGAAATGCCCGAAGCCCCCAAATGCGAGAGCCGAGACCCCGAGTGGGAGCCGGGCCGTGTTGAGACCCCACCCAGGGGCACCCCTGAGCTCAGGCTGCAGCAGGGCTGACGGACGAGCTGTGGGAGAGGCCAGCTGCCAGACGTGTGCCCCCAGCCCTGCTGCAGTCTGTCTGTCTGTCTGTCTCTGTCTCTGGCTGTCTCTGTCTTTGTCTGTCTCTGTGTCTCTGGCTGTCATTGTCTCTGTCTGTCTCTGTCTGTCTGTCATAAGCCTTGCACGTCTGCTTCTGCACCCAGAATTGCCGGCCTGAGGTGGTGCCTCTGCCCCCTTCCTGGGTGCCCCGACCTGGGGGGGGGGTGCCCAGCCTCAGGAGACCCTCTCTGTCTGTGAAGCCTGGAAATTTCCTCTGTAATGGCCACATGCCAGGCCCGGCTGGACACTGGCTTGGGCAAACCCCAGGGTGCCTGTGAGAGCAGCATGTCCACGCCAGGACCCCAGGGACATGGCCCCTCCCTGCTGCCTCACAGGCGCCTCTGGGGCCCAGCTGACCTGTGTGTGCGTGAGGGTCCTGCTTCTGCAACCAGGAGAGAAATCCCAGCATGCAGCCCTCGACCCAGAGCAGGCTCCCCCGAAATCCTCAGACCCCGACCCAGACCACCCCAGACCCTCAGCCCCCCACCCAGACCCCCCAGACCCCTAGCCCCTTACCCTGAGTCCCCCCAGACCCTCAGTCCCCAACCCAGAGCAGGCTGAGTCCCTTACCCAGACCCCCCAGGCCCTCAACCCCCCAACTCTGAGATAACCCTGGCCCTCAGCCCCCGACCCAGACCCCCCAGACCCCTCCCAGAGACCCTCAGACTCCAACCCTGAGTGCCGCCCAACCCTCAGCCCCTACGCTGGGCCCCCCAGAACCTCAGCCCCCAACCCAGACCCCCAGCCCTTTGGCCAGGGGTGCATCGTGGCTCGCGGATGGCCAGGGCACCCCCACAATGGTGGGGGTGCCTGCTGGCCCCGGCTCACCCCGTCCTTCCCGCAGATGACTACGCCCAACTCTGCAACCTCCCCCGGGCCGGCCGGCGGCGCCCCTACGGCCACGACGCCCTGGTGGACCTGAGCCAGCAGTATGTGCCGGAGACCGACCCCTACTTCCTCCAGGACCGTAAGCACACTTGGGGGGCGGGGGCCGCGGCTAGTCGGGGGCTCCCAGGGACCGTCATCATCGCGCCTGCCTGTCCCCGGGGACCCGCCTGCAGCCAAGGGAATGACCTGGGCTCCTTTGAGTTGGGTTAGGTTGGGTTTTTCCTCCCCTTTCAATTTGGGGGGATTTTTGTTTGGGGGTGCCAGGGATCGAACCCAGGTTGGCCACATGTGAGGCAAACACCCTCCCCCACTCTGCGAGGGCCCAGGCCCGCCTTGAGCACTGCGCGGTGCTGCCCCCTGCAGTCGTGCCGGGGAATGATGCCCGAGTGCTGCCCTCACCTGCAGGGTTCCAGAAACACCCGGGGGGGGGGGGGGGGGGGGGGGAGGGGTATTCTCCCCCTTTTCATCCCAAAAGGGAGCTCATGACTCCTGCCGCCCAGTCAGCTTCTTGCCTATGGCTGGAGCCTGCAGTGGGGCAAAGATGGAAGATCCAACTTGGACTCACGGGAGACTCAGGCCGGCGGGGTGCTGGCCTGGCCTGGCCGACATGGGCTCTGTCCGCAGCACCACATCCAGTGCCCCGATCCCCGTTGGGAGTGATCCCTGGGCCCAGAGCCCAGAGTCAGCCCCAAGCACCGTCAGGAGTGATTTCTGGGCCCAGGGCCCAGAGTCAACCCCAAGCACCACCAGGGGTGGCCCCAGAACTGCGTGAGGCTGGGGCGCTCTCTCCTCTGCTGGGGTGTGTGAGCCCCTGGCCAGTGTCCAGCTGTCCATGTCCCCCACTTCCCGGTGAGCCCAGTGGCCTCCGACACACGCGGCTCTTGCTTGCAAATCACCCTGAGCGGCGGTTTCCCTGGCACCCGCCGCGTGGGGTTAGGACCCACCCCTGCCTTTCCCCCCCCACCCCAACCCCTGTGTCCCGTCCCGCCCCCACACCGGGCCTGACCCTTCCCCCGCCCCCCGCAGGCTTCGACAGCTTCGAGGAGCTGCAGGCCGAGGAGTGCGGCATCCTGAACGGCTGCGAGAACGGGCGCTGCGTGCGGGTGCCCGAGGGCTACACCTGCGACTGCTTCGACGGCTTCCACCTGGACATGGCCAAGATGACGTGTGTGGGTAAGAGGACACGGCCCAGCCTCTGGCGCCAGGTGACCCCGGCCGGGCCGTGGCTGCCGAGGGTGCCAGGGCCGGGGAGCGTCCCGGCCAGCTGCAAAGATCAAGTGCCGTCCTCTGTCCAGCCCCTCCACCGCAGGCCTGGGGGGACACCCCGGTGGTGCTCAGGGGCCACTCCTGGCAGGAGCCCATATGCGATGGCCAGGGTCGAACCTGGGTCGCCACCTGCAAGGCCAGCCGTGCCCTGTCCACTAGACAGACTGTCACTCAGGCCCCAACCCCTGACTTTTGAAAACTGGATTTTTGGGGCGATTTTACCTGACGCAAAGTGTCAGGCATTGTAGATTCTGGGGGCTGGGGTAGGGGGAAACCCAACTCCATTGCAGCAGTGGAGGGAAGGAGTGTGCACACACACACATGCGCACGGACACACACATGCATGCACGCACACACGTATACACATGCACACACATGTGCATACATGTACACACATGCACACACAAGGCCCCTGCACGTGCTCCCCTGTTTCCGCAGCAGGTCTGGGGCTGGGACACACCCTGCTCCCTCCCCAGGCCTCTTGGCCTCTTCCCGGCTCTGCCCGCTTCAGCCCCCACTAGGTGACTGTGAGTGGTGGTCTTGTTCTGGGGGGTGGGGATCTCCCTCCTGGGCGGTTGTCAGTGGGCCTCAGGGAAGCTGGAGAAAAAAGACCGGAAGCAGGATGGTTTCTTCCAGCTTTGAAAACAGCAGCTTAAAAAATAATAATGATCCTTGGAATTTCGACACAAATAGGGTTTGAGGCATTTCGTGTTTCTCCGTCTGAGCCCAGCACCGCCCCCCCCTTGCCAAGGGCCCCCTTCCTCCGGTAGCCCCACCCCCACCCCATCCTCCTCGCTAATGACGGAGCTGGTGAGAGGGCTGGTGGGACAGACACCCAGACCCTCCCGGGCGCCCACCCCCGAGCCCCCCGAGGCCTCTGCAGAGTGTGAGCATTTGTCCTGAATTCCGTCCTTGCCTCTGGGCAGCGAGGGTAGCAAGCCTCTGGCCACCGGGGTCTGTCTGTGGAGCTGTAGGGTGGGCTGAGCTCAGGGTGGGCAGAGCCCCAGGGGGTGGGCTGAGCTGTCCGGCGCTGGGGCAGCAGAGCCTGAGGGCTGTGCTGGGGGCAGGAGCTCGGGTGTGGGGGTTGCTGCCTGCCCACTGACCGCCCCCGCCCGCCCCCCCCTCGCGCAGATGTCAACGAGTGTGAGGAACTCAACAGCCGCATGACCCTCTGCAAGAACGCCCAGTGCATCAACACCGAGGGCTCCTACCGCTGCCTGTGCCTGCCGGGCTTCGTGCCCTCCGACAGGCCCAACTACTGCACCGCGGCGAGCTCAGCCTCCAGCCGGGAGCGGGACAGCGACCTGGAGTAAGGCCTGGAACCCGGGCCGGGCCGGCACACGCCCCTGAGATGAGCAGCCTCGTGGGCCAGAGACGGTGACGCCACCCCAGGGTGCTGCAGACCCGAGAGATGCACAGCCCCGGGGAGAGAGAGGACCGGGCTGAGCTGACCCCTCGGACAGACCATGGACACTTCCGGGAGGGCCGGTCTATATATATTCTGTTCATATGTAAAATTGAGTGGGAGAGAGGCCAGACAGCTGTTGTTTCACACAGAAGGTTGTATGATGATAGTGATTTGTGTGAGTTTATTTTTTAAAAAAAGCTCTTGCTTGATTAAATTTGGCATTTAAATAGCAATGGAGATATTTTATATAATTTTCATCTTAGGGGCTGTGCGGTTCCTTGGCAGTTTGGGGTGGGTTTTTTTTTGTTTTTGTTTTTTTTGTATTTTTTTGCTTTTTGGTTTTTCTTTTTTTTTTTTTTAACCTAATTTCAAGTACAAAACTCGGGTAAGATATCAAAACGGTCTAAGTGTTGTTCTGACACCTGATACTTCTTTTCTGGCCAAGAACATTTTTTAAAAAAATCCAAATTGCCTGTCCTGTGGAGCAGGCAGGGGTTTTGCCAGCGTCTACGCACCCAGGAAGGAAAGGATTTTCTGTCTGTCCTGCGTGTTGTTGGGTTTGAATGTGTTTTTCTCAACCGAACCGCCAGGGGGCCTCGTCGGCGCCGTCTGCATTGAACTCCGGCCCCTGGGCCTGTCCAGGGCCCAGCAAACCCCGCTGGGAAACTTGATCCTGATACATTTGTCTGTTAAAGCAAAATAAATCACCTTTTTTCTTTTTTAAGAAATACTTCTGCCTGAGAGTCATTGTTAAGGAGGCCGCCTTCATCCTTCCTCACACTCCGCTGACCATGCAATCTTTCGTGAATCAATTTCCTTTTTTTTTTTTTAATCCTCGTTTAGGTGTCCGGTTTGGGGGCTTTGCTGCTCCTTTGTCACCCACGTCGTGCCTGCGATCCTCCTCTCTGCTCTGTGTACACCTGTGGTCGCTCCCACCCGCTCTATTCTCAGACCCGCAATCCATTATTATTAAGACACTCTCGGCACCCTTGAAGATTCACGGCAGTCTGGCAAACTCCCTGTGGCGCACCCAATATGCCAAATACCAGTAACAATGATGGGTCTCATTCTCTTAACCCTGAAAGAGCCTTGAATACGGCACTTTTTAAAAAAAATCTCAGGGCTAGGGCGAAGGAGACTTTACTGGGGCCTGCTCGAGGCAATCGACGAACAACAGGATGGTCGTGATCGGCAACCTTGAAGATTCCTCTGGCAGACACAAGAGGAACTGACGAAACTCTGCAGGCCGCCCTCCAGGCCCATCCGACCTCCTGCAAATCACACGAATCTACTCCCCGCCCCCCTCCCTTGCAACACAGTGTTTGTTGTGTTGACGTAGCACACCACCTTTATGCATCATTGCATATTTGGGTTTCCCCCCCCAGATTCTGTCGTACAAAGCACTACCATGTACCTAGGCAAGCTTCTAGCTTTTCAGATTGTTTTTTTTTGTCTCTGAGGGGCGTTAGACCTGGGATAACTGGCCAGAATCATTGAAAACTGGAGCTTTTCACCTCTAGACTTGTGTTTACCTGGGAGCGCCCCTCGGAACACTGGTGCAGGGAAGCTGGTCGGAGGGTATTGGAGTGATGGATGCAGGAAAAGTCTAAAAAAAGTCTAAAAGCCTCGGGGAAAGCGGTAAAGAAGAAAAACAGAACAAAAACTTGAACAAGCCGGCTGGAGTGATGATAGCACTCCAGCTAGGGCATTTGCCTTGCACGCGGCCTAACTGGGTTCGATTCCCAGCATCCTATAGGGTCCCCCGAGCACCGCCAGGAGTAATTCCTGAGTGCATGAGCCGGGAGTAACCCCTGTGTATTGCCAGGTGTGACCTAAAAAGGAAAAAAAATAAAAACATGAACAAGGCAATTCAATAGAACAGAAAACAGGCTTCCTTGAGAAATAAACACCCTACATGTATAAAGACCAAAGTCGCCACTCAAAAAAACACAAGAATAGCTGGGCGGAGTGGCAACTGTTTGCTACTGTGTGCTATCAACAGACAATCAAACTAAGACGACAGCGAGACAATAAGAGCCAAGAGGGAAATGGAGAAGTCCGAAAAGGCAGGCGCTTTCATCTCCGCGATGTAGACCCCCAAGCCCGTGGGTCTGGGGGACGCTCCCACAGCTCCTGGAAGAACCGTGTGTAGAAGACACAGCAAGCGGTTCCTGGACCCTGTGCTCCCAGCAGAGTAACCAAATGTGCCCGGCAAGTGTTAGCCAGGCTCCAAGAGAAAGACCAACCGTAAACACAGTGACCGCAGGGGAACTCAGCGCCCCGAGGCAGCGGAGGGCCCCAACATCAGGCCGCCCGGAGCCAGCAGCCTTCAGGGCCTCCTGCGGTGAGAGCCCCGGCACCAGCACCACAATGCGTGGTCCTCGGAAGGTTCCAGACCTCCTCTGGGCCTCGAGACACATCTCAGGCGTATGGATATGAAATCCCGTATTTTCAGATCCCATCCAGCTAGTCATCGAGGCAGAAAGGGACTGTGTAGAGATGCGATTGCTTCTACCCAGCTATCAGGCCAGGAGTGACTCGTGGGTGAATTTACAGAAGACACAGGGAGCAGGGGAGAGCAGGCAGGGCTCAGGCGCCCAGCCTGGTTGGCAGAAACCACCAGAACCGGCTGCACGCCCCCACGCAAGTTTTAGAACCCATCAATATCTGAACGATCGGCTTGAGGCTCTTCGTGTTCCCAGAACGAACAGATGCCATTGGGCTACACTAGCACGCGACAGGGACAAATGGGGACGTTACTGGCGCCCGCTCGAGCAAATCGCCGATTAACGGGAAGTCAAGTGATCAAGTGATCAATATCTGGCTGTTGCCAACTGTCCTCAAGCCAGCCTGCAGATCAGTGTCTAAGAGAACACCACCACATGGGGCCCGGGAAAGGGCACTGTGGGAGGGGTCTGCCCTGCACACGACTGACGCGGCAGGTCGATCCTGGGCACTCCGTAGGGCTCAATCCTGAGCACAGAGCCAGGAGTCCAGCCGGGTGTGACCCCCACAGAAAAGGAAAACACCACTGGCCTCTCGGGTGCCCTCTCACCTGCCAGACGTGCTCACCAGCTGTGGCCCTTGGTTCTTGCCCAGCTGCAAAGCAGGGAGAGGAAAGTCGCAGAGCCGGAAAGAACCACCGACATTCAGCTCTCCCCAGCTCCCCTGGCCCGGAAGGACAGTTCTCAGATGTTGCCCCCAGCCCGGATCATCGGCATAGCCAGGGGGGTCACTCAGAAACCAAAGCGTGGGGGCCGGAGTGATAGCACAGCAGGGAGGGTGTTTGCCTTGCACGCTGCCGACCCGGGTTTGATTCCCAGCATCCCGTATGGTCCCCTGAGCACCCCCAGGAGTAACCCCTGTGCATCGCTGGGTGTGTGACCCAAAAAGCAAAATAAAATAAAGATAAAAAAAAAGAAACCAAAGCAGAAAGAGGAACCCTTAGAAACGCTGTTACCAAAATAACAACAAAACTCAATTTAGAAAGGAAACTCGAGGCCCCTCCCCGCCGCAGGCCATGGGTCTAGGAACCAGGTGGTCAGTCGTATCAGCCTGCTTTAACGAGCCCTGCGGAGACGCTTGTTTTCAGTTACTCGTGGGTCCTGTGCTCGCTGCATACGCAATCTCTCACCACCCAAGCCCCTCAGTGTCCTTCCCTGCAACTGTGTCCCCTGTCCCCCATCTGAACCCCCCAGCCTCCCCTCAGGCTAGCGTCCTCCTGAAGCCCAGATCTGTTGCTTTGGGGCATTTGTTATTCATTTGCCAACACGGTGTCTCTATGGCCCATTCATCAGAGACCCTGCTGTGGGCCTGCCCTGTTCTCCTGACTGACTCACTCAGGCCTGAGACTTTCCAGACCCGGCCACGTAGCCGCAAACTGGCCCTGTGGAGATTCCATAAATCTCTCCCATAAATAAGTCTCCCTCGGCCGGCAGACGCTGCTGGACTCCAAATACTTTGTGGCTTTCCAGGCAGTTCCTAGCCTGCCCAGGGCCCTCCCATGGAGATACAACCTCATTTTAATTCTGTTTCTCATTGCCACACACACACACACACACACACACACACCATCATTTTCCCCTTCCGATTCACCTCTCTGGTCAGGCCCCAAGCCAACATCTCCTTTCTGACCAGTTCATCAATGGATGTTTTAATTATCAAAGCACGAGCCTCTCGTGGCCAGAGCAACCATGCCACGGGCAGGGCACTTACCTCACACGTCGCCAACCCAGGTTTGATCCCTGCATTGCATGTGGTGCCCTGGGCACCGTTACGGGTGGTTCCCAAGAGCCGAGCCAGGTGTAGCCCCTGAGCATCGCCCGGTGTGGCCCAAAAATGAAAAGGGGAAAAAAACGCACCCATAATTCTTCATCTGTCTCAGTAAGCTGTCCCCACACACAAGCCTGGTGTGAAGAAGTAGCTAATCTCAAACCGGCACCTGGAAACTGGTCATCCCAGGAGCTGCAGGTCAATATTTACTCGGGTTACCTATGGAATGTCACTGAGACAAAAGGGAGATGGCTCGTGAGGTGAGGCAGGGCAGGATTTGCGTGTGTGTCGACTCACACCATCGGCCCGGAAGCCAGCTGGCTTGCATTACAGGGATGCGGGGCAGCTGGAGTCAGGGGGGACCCCCCCCAAGTCTTCCTGCAAGTGGCTCGTGGACAAAAACGTCTTCCAGCACGGATGCAGTTGCCCTGAAGTCAGAAAATGCCCCACAAGCTCCCTGAGCCCCAAATAACCGACCAGGTCCCATGTAAACCCTAACACTGCCGGGCTGAGAATAACAGGACCCACCCACCCTCCTTAGGGTCACTTCCGGGCCAGGAGCTGGACGGAGCCCCTCTTGCCCCTTGGGACACTGCACCCTCCTCGGGAAGGGCTGCTGCAAAATCAAGCTGCCTCCCATTTCCCACCTGCCATAAAAAGAAATTGCACTGGGGATGTGTTTGGTGGGAGGGGCCGGGCCACACCTGCAGTGCCAGGGGATGCTCCTAGCTCTGTGCTCAGGGCCATACCTGCAGTGCTCGGGGGCCACTCCTGGCTCTGTGCTCAGGGATCATTCCAGGTGGACTTGGGGGCTTCAAGGTCAGCACCTTGCCCCCTGCACTCTCTTCCCATCCCTGCTCTCGTTGTCTTTGGATGAGCGAAACAGGCTTCAGCGGAGAGGCCTCTCACCAATGCACTGCACGGGACCACGAGCGTCAGAGGAGCAGGGATCCCCATAGCACCACACAGCAGCCAGCTCCAGGCCTGTGACCCACCTCTGCAGACCTCCTGGCTCTT